TCAGCAGTGCCACGTCAGACACAGTGCCACGTAAGCAGTGCCACATCAGCACTGCCACGTCAGACACAGTGCCACGTCAGACAAAGTGCCATGTCAGCAGTGCCACGTCAGCAACATGACGGGCTTGCCAGGCCAACTGCCCAACGAGTCCCTTGCAGCCTACAAGCAGCGGTTCCAGGCTCAAATAGAGGCTGAGGAACAACGCCAGCTGGCAGCCGAGGCTGCCCGCGTACAGGCTGAAGAGGCAGCAGCAGCAGAACAACTGCAGCTACAGGCCGATGCAGACGCAGATGCCCAGGCTGGCCGCAAGGAAGCCCAGGATCTGCTGCAGCGGCATGAAGCCAACATCATCGACAGACTCAAGTACTGGCATTTTGAACCGAGCGGCGACGAGGCAACACCGGAAGAGAAGCACAAGGAGTTCCTCTCCAAACTCGTGACGCGGTTGTTGTATGCTTGCAACTACCAACGGTCAGAGTCGGAGAGACAGTACCAGGACCTGACGCAACAACATCAGGAGTCGCCACAGCTCTGCCGCATAGTGCAGAGCCACGAGGATGCAACTCGGGCACTCAATGCCCGATTGCTGGACCTGGAACATGCTGTACCAGGACCAGCTGTTGGGGCTTCCAGCAGTGCACCCTCTAGCCGCCAACTGGAGGACCGCGTTGACCACGTAGTGGCAATGCTCGGCGACATCAGCACTTTCGCTGCGCCGACCACCACCATCAGCAGTCAGCTGCATACATTGGAGACCGAGGTCCAGCAGCTGCAGACGACGAACGCGGATGGCAATCCGAAGATGTATAAGATGCCAACTTTCAATCTGGAGAGGTTCCACTACACGCAGCAGGATCCGGTCCTCTGGTGGGAAGCATTTACAACGCAACTCAGGATTCTGCCMGTAGCCAAGCATGCGTATATCGGCGCCCTGTTCTTGAACTCAAAGGGTGGATGCCAGACCTGGTTGAGCCACCTGGCAACCTCCCRCGGCGTCGACGTACCAGACTTGAAGGACCAAATCACATGGGAGGAACTGACACGGCTGTGGAAGAAGCGGTTCATCGTCGACGACGCGCCGACACTCGCCATCAACCGTTTGTTCACCATGTCACAGGGCAACACTGCAACATGGGATTGGCTCACAGAGTGGCAGAAGATTGCGGCAGTGCCCAATCTGGAGCTGCCTTTCACTCATCTCAGACGTGAGTTCTACAACAGGTCCTGCGCCGCATTGAACCAGGCTCTTGGTGATCGCGATTCGCGAGCAGTACTTAACCTTTGCTGAGATTATTGACAAAGCAAGGGAGATTATCAAGACCAACAGGTCAGCTGCACACTAGAAGTCACCATGGCAGCCGACCTATGTGGAGAAGGTACGAACTGGTCCGCGACAGCACCACTTCGCTGCAGTCCAGCAGGACAGTGGAGATAACCCAGCAGCCACTCCAGCATCAAGTGACGGAGAATCAGAGATCAGGTGGTTGTTGTCCAGCCGCGAAGCAACAACAAGTCCCGCAACAATGGGAAGGCGAAATCCGCATCGCAGGCCGGAAATGGACAGCCAGGACAATTTCCATGGGTCAAGTTTGGCTTGACCGAGGCGGAGTACAAGGTCCACGGCCGCTACGGCAGCTGCTACTGGTGCAACAGCACCAAGCACAAGACCTCCCTGTGCCAAGATCAGGGCAAGGAGGATGTGCGACCCCGCCTCAGCTCGGGAAACTAAGCTCCGCGGAAGGTGAGGGGACTCCACCTTCTACTCCGCCAGATTCGGCCGCCTTGCTAGCGGCCTCCTGCACATCTGGGGAGGATGCGAATGTCGCAAGTCCTCGGTATACTTACGAGGATTATGCTGTCCATTTGGTTCCACCACTGGACCAACCGCTCCACGTGCAACAGTCCACCGCATGCACGGTTTCATCACCATCGGCAACCGATTCGGCAGCTTCGCCGCAATCTATGGCCGGGGATTCGACGTCATGGTCAAGACTTGAAGAGCTCGACCCATTGACGTTCACAGACTTCCAGTGGATGCCCGTTCCCTCGACCGGACGATTGCCGAAACCGCATTGCAATGTGCTCATGGCACAACTGCGGGACTACTTGCACGCTGCAGTACCAGCTCCGTTGATGGACGCCAGAGCAGAGGTTGTCGACCTTCACGCTTTCATCGCGAAGATGGACCGCGAGTTCAAGACGCAACGGTACGACGACATCGACGCACCATTGCTATACATACGCATTCAGATCGGAGAGGCGACCTGCAGTGCCTTGATCGATTACAGAGCATCTCGCAACTACATCAGCCGGGACTTCATGGTCCGCATCGGCCTTGGCCCACGCGTGCGGAGGAAGCCCCAGCCTACGCAAGTCACATTGGCGGACGGTCACACGCACAAGTCAATCGACCGGTGCATTGACAGCGTCCCAGTGTACTTTGCCCCTCACGCAAGTGAGGCGGTGTCCGTTGACATTCTGGACACCAAATTCGACATGATCTTTGGCATGTCATGGCTGCGAAGCAAGGATCACCCGGTACGGAGTATTAGTTCCATGCACGGTGCCTCTTCCTCATCCTTCGATCAGCTGCCACGTGGTATCCGCCGCAAGCATGCGAGCTTCCATCATCAGAGACGACATTGAGGAGATGGAGGTGTGTTTTCTCCACGCCTTCCCGCCCCATGACGCTTCATCGACGGACTCACCTTCGGATCCATGCATCACCGAACTTCTCGACGTCTACAGCGACGTGTTCGAAGGCCCGCACGGAGTAATACCGAATCAACCCATCCGCCACGAGATCATCCTCGAAGACGGGGCCGTACCTCCGCGCGGTTGCATCTACCGAATGAGCGAGGAAGAGTTAAGTGTGCTTCGGGCACAACTCGACGACCTTCTAGAGAAAGGCTGGATTCGGCCTAGCTCATTGCCATACGGTGCTCCTGTTCTCTTCGTCCGGAAGAAGAACAAGGACCTGCGGTTGTGCATCGATTATCGCAAGCTCAACGCGCAGACGATCA